CAACAAATTAAAGTCGTTTTCAGTCATTTTAGTCAGAACCCGTGCTCAGAGTTACAGCCAAGGAAATGTATTGGGACTCAGGAGTAGTCTGCTGGCACCGACGATAGTTTGCAGTCAAGGTGATTCCGGATATTCTAATGTGATGGTGCATGTGCAATGTACCCTATATTGTAATTTGTTTAATTATTAATATCAAGAGCGTATAAAGAAACTTCTTTATACGCTCTTGATAATATTAATAGTATTACTAATAGTAATACTATTAATACTTATTAATAGATTAATACACACACAATCATTGAATCAATGTCAATGACTTCGTAACGGGTTCACACGTTGACATAGCAGTGAAGGTAGCCCTGGGTTCTGCAGAGTTTTATCACAGAGTGACTCGAACCCATTCACCTAAAGCTTACCGCATGGTCACGGTGTGGTGTAACCATTACCACATTAGTCTAGATCATTGCAGTTTTTAAGGCTCATAGCCTTGTAAGGGTTTGATCCTTACGTCGGTCGGTGTCCTGGTCGTCTGGTAGAATGAAGCACCAATCAGTTGATCCCAGGCGGTCCTTATATATGACGGCAGCCGTGGCCTTGCCTGGCTTGCCGTGGATTCTGGGTCGAAGCCTGTAGTCGAATCCTTACAGCCTCATAAGGTCTATGTCCCCCAGGGTACTGCCGGAACGTACCCTGGGTACGGTCCGGTATACCGGAACGTACCCTGGTAACTATCTGATATGGTTAGGGTTACGGAGTAGGCGTAGGCGACTCCCTAGACTCGTTAGTGGAGTAGCCGATGTATGGTCCGGCATATTAGATAGTACCAGGGTACGTTCCGGCAGTACCCTGGGGGACATAGACCATCTCAACATTTCTAAGTACCCTCGGTCCGACTCCATGCAGATTTACTTAGAAGTAATCCACAGGTTATTATTTTGATCTTTCAGAGAGGTTTCCACACAACAAGTGGCAGATTTCTCGGACGTTTCACGGATCCGGATATAACTCACAGAAAGACTTCTACAAAATTCTTGGCGTTCCTAAAAATGCCCCGCAGAAAGATGTGAAAAAAGCATATTATGAAGTATGGATTCAGTTACAGATTTAGTTACAAGTTACATTTCATGTTAAATGTTTCCCAATTTCTATATAACACTCTAGATATAGTTCCAATCATGTAAAAGTAGATTGTTCATACATTACAATATTGCAATGCAATTGAGTAACACACAACCAGTTTGTCAACCATTCTTTGGCACAACAATATAAAGTTGTTCAAATGTGTATGCGTCATCGTGATGAATCTCCCTCCAAAATTATCTCCAACCAATGACCATGCCTTCTACCTGTTGTTTTTGCACATTTCTTTTCCAGCTAGCTAAAAAATATCATCCAGACACATCGAAAAACGATCCAGATGCCTCTCGAAAATTCAAGGAAGTATCAGAAGCGTACGAGGTAATTACGTCACCCAGGTTACCATCGATGGCAGGTGATAGCTATCACACAACTGTAGGATGATAACTTATATCTGTTTGCTGATAGCAAACGGCTAGCTGTTTGATGATGAGGTATAGCCGTTCAGTGGATGGGTTTTAGGCAGCATTTATCATATCAGTTTTGCTGCCTACATGGTGTCAGTTTGCTGCCTGATCCCAATGCTGGTGGCAAATACTTCTTGCTGCCGAGAAATTCCCTATACACCCGTAGTATAGCTGAGAGGGTAGACTCTATGTCCCCCAGGGTACAGCCGGAACGTACCCTGGGTACAGACCGGTATACCGGAACGTACCCTGGTACTATCTAATATGCCGGACCGTACCTCGCCTACTCCACTAACGAGTCTAGGGAGTCGCCTACGCCTACTCCCTAACCCTAACCCTAACCATATCAAATAGTTACCAGGGTACGGAACGTACCCAGGGTGCGTTCCGGCAGTACCCTGGGGGACATAGACCCTATGAGCAGTAGTATAAGCTCCAAAGATTCTGCCTGGATGATTAAATTTGCTGCTTGCCTTTTTCCTCTGGCAGTAAGCACTTACAAAGTTAAATCCTCTACTCACTTGCGAAACAAATTTCATTTTTGACCCGGCACGTAGGCAGTCGTTCACGGCCGCACGTTCTCTTGTTCCTCAGATACTCGGCGAAGCGAGCAAGCGGAAGCAGTACGACACGTGGGGCTCGGCAGGGGACTTCGGAGCCGGTGCCGGCGCGGGACCCGGAGGCTTCCAGGGATTCCAGTCGAGCATCGACCCGGAGGAGCTCTTTAGGAAGATATTCGGCGACCTCGGATTCGGAGGTCAGCGGGGCGGGGCCAGGGGCTTCCAGCAGCAGCAGGATCCGTTCTCGAACTACGGCTTCGCGGATGGTCCTTCACAGCAGGTTGGTGCGATAGAGGGAACAGCCCCTCATCGAAGGCAATCGTATCTAATCGAGCTGGGATAGTTATAACGAGTCCTGTGTTTGCATGTAAAATCTTAATGTAGTCTAGAAGCTGTGTTTGGAAGTGCAGAATCGAATGAAAGTACCTTGATTGATTTGAGAACGTGAGACCAAAACTGCTTTGGATGATGTTAGTAATGAAGTAGCCAGTTTTATCAGTACCGTACATGTAGTCACACACAGGTGAAAGTATCCTAAAAGATGATAAAACATCTTCAAGATGTAATGTAACGTAATGTAATGTAATGTTATACATAATGTAACAATATAATATATATGCAACGTATAAAACTGTTTTACATGACATAATATACATGATGTAACAATCTAGTATGATTGCAACGTATAAAATTGTTATACACATAACATAATAGCATAATATACATAATGCAACAATCTAGTATAGACGTTGTTAATAAAAAACTAGAACTGAATACAGTCGTACTAACCCGACGCTCTCACGTTCCACAGATGACGATGAGTCTCAGCTTCCAGCAGGCGGCCCGCGGCGTCAACCGTGACATCACGCTCAACGTGTTGGACACGTGTGCGACGTGTAAGGGCTCGCGCGCCGCCTCGGGAACAAAGGTCGAGCAATGCCCGCAGTGCAACGGCACGGGAATGGTAACCGCCTCCGTCACATCACGCCCCGCCGCGTCCCGATACGCCTCGTCACGCTCCGCCGCGTCACGCTCCGTTGTGTAGATGTTACGCGTTCTGACATCGTTGACGTTGATCGTGAATGCTGATTCGTTGATGTTGGTAGTTGATCGTTGACTTAGATTGATGCTGATTGTTGTTGTTCATGTCGAATGTTGACATTAATGTTGATTATTGACATTAATGTTGATCGTTGACATTGATGCTGATCGTTGACCTTGATCATTGACGTCGATTTGTTGAATTAAGATTATAGATTCCGACACGAAACCCTGCGGTTATATCGCAATTACCCGTTCACTTGTCGTCATCGCCGCGCTCTGTTCTGCTTCAGGAAACGGTGAGTACGGGTCCGTTTGTGATGCAGAGCACATGTCGTCGTTGCCACGGCACCACCCAGCATGTGCCGCACCCGTGTCAGACGTGTCAGGGCCGTGGCTCGACCATGCAGAGGAAGACTGTCACCGTTCCCGTGCCCGCCGGTGAGTGGCCCCACCGCCGCGCCGCGCGGCGGCAGTCTAGGTACCTCGTCTGTCGCGTCTAATTTTACCCGTCAACGTTCTCTGAAGAAATAATTAATGATAAAATGATGATAAAAACAGTAATAATGTATAATATAAATTATATATATATATATATATATATATATATATAT